TCTGTGGTTCAGGAGTGGCTTAACAAGAGGAATACGACAACTGTAGCCAAATTCCTTGACGCGTCTGTGTGTGGTGGCTCTTGATGCCTTGACCCCAGCCTCAGTCCATTCCTTGTGAAGTTCACTCAAATTCTTGAATCGATTTTGCTTGACAATCCTCATAAGGCTGCGGTTCTCTCGGTTGGTTGTGCATCTTTTTCTTCCACACTTTTTCCTTCCACTCAACTTTCTGTTAACATGCTTGGATAAAGCACTCTGTGAACAGCCAGCTTCTTTGGCAATGAATGTTTGTGGCTTACCCTCCTTGTGAAGGGTGTCAATGATTGTCTTCTGGAAAACTGTCAGATCAGCAGTCTTCCCCATGATTGTGTAGCCTAGTGAACCAAACTGAGAGACCATTTTGAAGGCTCAGGAAACCTTTGCAGGTGTTTTGAGTTGATTAGCTGATTGGCATGTCACCATATTCTAATTTGTTGAGATAGTGAATTGGTGGGTTTTTGTTATATGTGAGCCAAAATCATCACAATTAAAAGAACCAAAGACTTAAACTACTTCAGTCTGTGTGCACTGAATTTATTTAATACACGAGTTTCACAATTTGAGTTGAATTACTGAAATAAATGAACTTTTCCACAACATTCTAATTTATTGAGATGCACCTGTATATACACACACACATTTGTGTTGTGTGTGCATGTGTGTGTAACCGGGCTGGTTTCTAACCTGCTGTACATATGTGACAGGAGGAGTGGGGCGCCCATGCGATGCCGTTCACACAGGCACGATGATTATTGAGACGAGCCACAGGTGTGCACGGCACACGCACGTCCAGAATCACCACCTGACAAAAATAAAACATTGGATAGCAAAAATGAGGCACATGAGAAAACATGGAGACAAATATGTTAATACAGTAAGAGGGACTAAAAGAGAGACCTCCATGCCATCCATGGCCATAGTGGCCAAGTAGTTGGGGTCCTGTTTGTTCCAGCACAGGCGCAGCAGTGGGTGATGTTGAGGGTCCTCATAGATGATGGTGCTGTGCTCCAGGTGTCGCAGATCAAACATGCGCACGGATCCGTCTGCTCCCACAGACGCAAACATATCGCGACCTCCACCCGCACGGCTGAATGCGATGTCATACACCTGAAAGCCAATGAAAAACGCTTTTATACAGAAAAAGCTACTAACTACACAATTCTGAAGAATCTGAAGCACTAGGGTGAGTTTTTCCTCACCTCCTTGTCGTGAGCAATTAGCTGTGTTTTGACATGGCCTGACACCAGGTTGACCCTTCCTAGGACCTGTCCTGTCTCTAAACCCCAGATCGTACAGGTGGTATCAATACTAGAAGTGCCTAAAAACACAAAACACACATACATGAAACCCTGACCATCTTTTGAGTGACAAACATACAAATGTGTAAAACATACATTTTTCTCCTAAACAATAGGGGTGGGAATCTTTAGTCACCTCACGATCCGATCCGAATCCGATTCTGGGAGTCACGATCCGATTCCAGAACGATTCTTGATCTACTTTTTTTCCCCCCCTTATTAATTAATTAGTTTACCGATTCGAGAATCTTAAAATCCTTACATTTACATATCCTTACATAAGTAATTAAGTACTTTTTAAAATAATTAGGCCTACAAACTGAACAAAATAATTAAAACAATTGTATGTTAAGAATTTTAAACAAATATAACTTCAAAACATACAAGCAAGTAGCAAATAATAAAGAGGAAATTGAAAGCAGCCTTCTGTTAGTGAGGTTCACATTTTAAATATATAAGTCCACTCCACTGCATTCCAAACCACATAAATGATGACTTCGTAGAGCATTTGTAAGGAAAATACCAACGGGCGAGACCACACACTTCAAGTGTAACATCAAACAAAGCACGCGTCTCTCACAGCGCATCTTGTGCAACGAAGCCCGCGAATGTCCTTGTAATTCACTTCAACCTTTCCGAACTTTATGAAAGATTATTTTATGGAAGGTTCGAGTGGAGGATGTGTGTGAGGAATTGGAAGCAAGCAGAATACGGGTGTTTCTAAAGCAAACTCAGCATCATCGCGCATCTGGTTAAAAACTAATCTCAGAATCCAGAATCGTTGGAGAGAGAATCGCGATGCATCGATTTTTTCTCCCACCCCTACTAAACAAGTGATATTTTAGCAATATTCTTCTATACTACTTCTATTTTAAATTAGCTTCTATTTTTATATTTTATATTATCAGTTTTAATTTTGCGTTTTTCTTTTTATTGAACAGTTTTAGTAATTTTAGCATTTCAACTTAAACTTACCAGTTAGTTGTCAAGACAACTTTCCTAAATTTTAAATTTAATTTGATCATAAAAGTCTCGACTGGAATATTTTGTGGGCATCCGGGGAACTGTTCTTAGCTGGTTCAAATCATATTTAACAAATAGAAGTTTCTATATTAGACTGGGTAATTTTTCTTTGTCGCCTGCTAAACTTTCCTGTGGAGTGCTGCAGGGCTCTATTCTCGCACCCATTATTTTTTCTTTGTATTTACTTCCTTTGGGCTCTATTTTCAGAAAGCATGGTGTATCATTTCACTGCTATGCAGATGATACCCAAATTTATTTACCTCTAAAACTAAATAAACATGTTGCTCTGGATTCTCTTTTTGCGTGCCTTGATGAAGTGAAAACGTGGTTCTCTCAAAATGTTTTATTTTTGAATGAATCAAAAACCGAGGTTATAGTCTTTGGCCCCAGTGAAAATTCAGGGAGCAGAAGTATCAATCTGGACTACCTTGCTCCCTTTACTTCTTCCTGTATCAAGAACTTGGGTATGTTCTGGGAGCCGAGTCTCAAATTTGATAAACAAATAAATGTGGTTATTAGTTCTGGTTTTTTTCAACTACGTCTTCTCTGCAAAATTAAATCTTTTCTCTCTGAGAAAACTTTAGAGATTGCTATCCATGCACTCATTACATCTCGCTTGGACTACTGCAACTCTCTTTACCTCGGACTTTCTACATCATCCATCGCTCGTCTCCAATTATTACAAAACGCCGCTGCTAAATTCCTCAAAGGACAACGTAAATTTGATCACGTTACTCCAATTTTGAAATCGTTGTATTGGTTACCTGTGCATCTTAGAATTTAGTTTAAAATTCTTCTTTATGTTTTTAAATCTATAAATAATCTGGCCCCGAGCTATCTATCTGATCAACTTTATCCATACAATCCTACACGAAATCTGAGGTCTGGTGACCAAAGACTTCTCTCTGTCCCCAGATCACGGTTAAAGCATAGAGGGAATAGAGCCTTTGTGGTTGCTGGCCCTAGGCTGTGGAACAGCCTTCCAGACTATATCAGATCGGCACAGTCTTTAACTGTTTTTAAATCATCTCTTAAAACCTATTTCTTCTCTTTGGCTTTCAATTCTTTGTGAGTTTATGGTATGAATCTGTGGGTTGCCCTGTGTTCTATGTTTTTGTTTGTTCAGCACTTTGGTCAGTCGTGCTTGCTGTTTTTAAATGTGCTATATAAATAAAACATAAAACTTAATTTTTTTATTTATTTAAATGAAAGCTGCAGTCCGTAAATTTTGCCTCTTTGTCGCCATCTCTATTATAATTTAATTTCATTCACATGTGTTTCATAAACACATAATCCTTTCTGGATTACAATCCGCCATCAAAATGATACATTTAATTATTCCAGTTGCTGTGAGAAAAGGCTATAAACGATCGGCCACCTGCAGGATCCTCACATGCGATAGCCTACTAGCTGGGACAACTTCTTTATGTTTACAGACGTGATGTAATGACGCAGTGCCATGCTCAAATTTCCCACGAAAACCTACCCGTACCACTCAAATTAGAAAACATTATTATAAGCTGACAGTTGTGAATTGGGCTAAAGTAAGGCGATAGTTTTGAACATTGGCTGGTTATGTACTTGATCAAATATTGATTTCAGATCATTTTTAACCAAAAAAAAAAAAGTTACGGACAGCAGCTTTAACAAAAAATATTTCTAATGGTTTTAGTTAACAATCACTATCAACACTGCCAAAAAACTCCCAGAAGACTGAAGTCCATTTAGTTGCCAAAATGCAAAAGTGACATTTCTAATTTTTTTGAGTGCAAGGAATAAAATGTAATATTTTATTTAAAAAAAAAAATTAAACTGTATATATTAAGCATTTATTAAATATATGTTTTTTTAAATGCATTTTGTATTTTTTATATTTTGCTTTATTTCAATTAACACAAATAATTTTAAATAGCTTACGGTTACGGTAATAGTTAACGGTCACAACAATGCCACACAACTGTGTGCTCTCACCCAGAAGATTGGGATCCACTTCATTCCAGTCAAAAGATGTCAGAGGTGCACAGAAATCAGAGTTCTTGTTATTATTCAGGAGACACTCCAGACGGGTCTCGGTGTCATTCACCTGATAACAAGATACATACAGTTCACTTACTTCATTTATATATACTGAGTTTGCATGTTTCTACAGTTCTGTCACAGTATTAAAGCTAGAAAGTCTCTGATCATTTCAAGTTACATCAAAATTTACCCTATTAACTTTCTTAACACACATTCCTGATCTTATTGTGAACTATTGTTAAGTGCACATTTATTTAAAATAGAGAGACATTTCACCATGAAATCAATTATAGATGGATTCAATCAAGCCAGATCAAGAAAAAAGAATGCCATGAAAATGTCTAGCTATTTGGCTATTGGTTAACATATAACATCAGTGGAAAAGGAAAACCACATCAGAGGAACAGAATATTAAGCATTTAATTAAGTTATTACATTTGATTAAAACTGATGCATTTAGATTTTTTTTGGAATGCACCAATGAATGTTCACAGCAAGACCAAGGACATGCATTAATAATGAAATAGTTAAATTTTCATCTCATGTTGGCTTGCGCAGTGCAGTCAAGCATGAATGTGTAGCAGAAAGTGTACATACCCTCCAAATGCGCAGATAGTCTCCGCTGGTGGCCAGCAGGTCTGGATAGACGCCCTTGGTGTCGGGAATCCACATGATCTTGGTGGTTGGGTACGGATGATCGAAGGTGTTCCTGCATACAAACTCTGAGCTCTCCTCCTCGAGACCCACCAGCTGGACCTGAATATCACAAAACAAGCAGCTGATGCAACAATGTCCATCTACTGCATCCATAAAGATGATGGGTTTCTGACAGCTGTCAAACTTTTATCCACAAGCAAGATACAAACAAGTCATCAAGCAACACGCTATTTATCTGAGAGTGTTCTCAAACTCTATGGGTGACATTTATGACCAACACTCTATTACTGCACACCATTAAAACCCGTTCATCTGCATCTAACATGTTACTATACATTTCAGGCATACTTCTCTATATGACAGCAACACAAAACAAAGTAGAGACATAACACACAGCGATCAGGGATGTCTTGGTGTCACACAGCTGTTTACCTTGTTGTTATATTCCTCAACGAAGCTGCCGAGCGCCAGGCGAAAGCGCTTGTCGGGTCTGACGCTCCAGTTCATGGCATAGACGGTCCATGGCGCCTCGTACTTGTAGATCTCTTTTCGTTTACCGTGCAACGACATGATTCAATCCCTCGATTGGACCGGTGAGAATAAGTTAGAATTGGGTCGTTAACAATACCTAGATTTGCAGCGATGGCTGAAAAAGGCTCTTTCAGCGAGAAAGACGGTCTTGTGTTTGTGCAGCGCGAGACAAAGAGAATAATGTCATAACAATCCCCTCCGCAACGGCCGCGAAAACGACGAGCTGCGCTCTGCGACGACACAAAACCTGCTTAGTGAAGCGCACAGATCACCATCTAATACTCAAGACTGTGTGCAGCTGAAGGCCCATGTTTTTGCTTAGTCCCAACGGTTTTAATTCTAACTTTAGAAAGCCCCAAATAGGCCCGACCGCTCAACGGCGCATTTGGTCTGAGGAGGATGTGCGTGTTTCAAAATAAAAGTCCTCGATAGAAAATGGGGGCTGAGCGCTGAGGTTATTTATAGATTTTTGTTGCTACTTGATCATTTTACTTTCACATCATGTTGGGCAGAGCTTCATTATTTTTTAGCAATTCCATTTAGCTTTGAAAAGCAACAAACTGTACATTAGATGTCAACTGTGGCTCAAGATATAGATAAATATTAGTAAATAAATAAA